ATAAATTCATTAATAATTTTGCTGTGAGGTATCATAATTCATGGAAGGTACCTTCATGCATAATTAGTCTCAGGATGGCAGGCTTTTATTTGATGCACATTGCAATGGCTTTTTGATGGTCACAATCTAATTAAAATACAATATAGGTATAGGCTTCAATTTAATATTATTATTAATTTCCATATTCTTTTTTTTATTTATGTTTATTTGGATTTACTTGCGTTATTTAGTTTTTTCCTATGTGATATCTTGGTGATACCACATATGAAAAAAAAATGAGTAATATCAACTAAAACAAAAGCAAAATAGTCGTAAACAAAAATAACGCTAATTAAAATATGAAAATTAGAAAAAAATGAAGCCTCATCGGATTATCAGATTGACCCTGGTCAGATCACGAAGAGTTTGCTCTTACATGCCATAGCGCCCTCTATGATCTGCCATACTCGTTGAACCCATGATAACGTACTTCGTTTTTATATTTTTTTTTCTGTAATTACTGTGGTATAAAAACGGGTATATTAAATAGGACAATAATAAATTAACCACCATGGGAAATGCTATTGTAGTTTTCTAGTTGGGATATGTCAGAATATGACGTAGTTTACTTTTCATTTTTGCTTAGTGACTGCCAGTTCAATTAAGCATGGCAATCAAGTATCAGTACTTTGACAGGAATGCTTTATTACTGTCACATGCTGGGTATGATTTTCCAGTGACCAACAAATCTTTGGAGAATGGCAGCTGCAAGAGGGTGTAGTGAACGACAATTCACCATAAATAATAGTGATTTGTGTGACCAGTACCTTCAGATTCCTTCCACTTTTACAAAATTTGGGGAAAAGTGTATAATCATTTTACACAATTTTCTTGCTGAAAAACAAACTGCAATTTCCAACAAATTTAATAATATATTTTCAGCAGCTCACACACACAGTACTGAATTCTGACAAGTTGCCCAAAGCAAAATATTGGGTGTGGCTGCTAGACCATCTGCTAATGTCCGCATCAGTCGTTAGACATACCACTTGTACATAGTGTCTGTTAATTTTAAATTACTTCATTTTACCGTGATAAATTAGCTCCAGTTCATACACATGGAATCACAATAACTTAACGTGACAATATACTAGAAACCATTACGTTTGCTCATTTGTCACAAATTTTTTTTCTTGCCATTTTTCATTTTATTCTTGTTTATGGGTTGTTCAGGTGACCAAGATGTGGCATACAACATGAATAAGGTGAAGTAAATCCAAATAAATTAACAATATACACCAAACATTCTGATTTCAATTAAATCCAAAAACCTGATTATGATTAAAATTTTATTCCACTTTTGAAGATATTAATGAATTTCATAAGCTTCAATCCCTCGGCTTGAATTGGTGTGGGGAGTCGTATAGCAGCCACAATTAGACTGGAATGACTTTCGGTTACCACCTGCCATAAATATGAATTGTACTAGTGTTCCCCCACAGTTTTTATTAGTTTGCATTATTTTGATTATACTATCACCTTGGTTTTTAGTGATACTTGACAAGTGAGTAGAGTAGAAATTATAAAATAAAAAATAACTTTCCTTGTATTTTACATTCAACTCATCAAAAAACAACTTTATTGAAAATGTTTTTCGGTGAAAATTAATTCCAAGAAATGAAAATTTTTTCGATGATATTTGGGAACTTGCGAAAATGGTTATATTTTCAGTATCATGATGATATGAACTCCTAATGATGAAGGTATGACGTGACATACAGAATATATTTTGAATCCAGTTTAAACCTACTCAAATTACAACTTTATTTTTACCATATACACATTGAAACAAACACAGATTACAGCATAAAACAATTTTATTTTGCAACATCTATGAATAAAAACAAAATTTTAAAACAAGCAACTTTGCATGACAGACAAGTACAGCTTACTATCACATTCAAATTAAAAAGGTTTTTAATGTAAAATATGGTGAACATGTGTTGCATAGTGTATACTGAAAAATATTGCTAAAACTTCATGTTTTGGTGGAAATCCATGTACAACTTTTTAACAGGGTATTTATGCAATCACAATCCCTTTAATACTTAAATGATGAATCACCAACAGCGCAATACATATAGCAAACACAGTGTCTGGAACTTTCTCTGAATCCAATACAATACTGAGGGATTAGTTATTATTAAAACTTACCACCACAGAATTCAACAAAATTTGAGAGCTTTTTGTTAAAATAAATTCACTTGCGAATAGAGGTTTACATTATTGTGTGATATTATTAAGCTACGTTATAAAAACCTGAAAATAAAAAATTCTGATAGTGGTTTAGAGCAAATAATGGCATGGCTGATATATACATAATGTACATTTTTTTTGAATAAAAATACATACCCACAATAGAAATACCGGTACATACCCACAATAGAAATACCGGTACATACCCACAATAGAAATACCGGTACATACCCACAATAGAAATACCGGTACATACCCACAATAGAAATACCGGTACATACCCACAATAGAAATACCGGTACATACCCACAATAGAAATACCGGTACATACCCACAATAGAAATACCGGTACATACCCACAATAGAAATACCGGTACATACCCACAATAGAAATACCGGTACATACCCACAATAGAAATACCGGTACATACCCACAATAGAAATACCGGTACATACCCACAATAGAAATACCGGTACATACCCACAATAGAAATACCGGTACATACCCACAATAGAAATACCGGTACATACCCACAATAGAAATACCGGTACATACCCACAATAGAAATACCGGTACATACCCACAATAGAAATACCGGTACATACCCACAATAGAAATACCGGTACATACCCACAATAGAAATACCGGTACATACCCACAATAGAAATACCGGTACATACCCACAATAGAAATACCGGTACATACCCACAATAGAAATACCGGTACATACCCACAATAGAAATACCGGTACATACCCACAATAGAAATACCGGTACATACCCACAATAGAAATACCGGTACATACCCACAATAGAAATACCGGTACATACCCACAATAGAAATACCGGTACATACCCACAATAGAAATACCGGTACATACCCACAATAGAAATACCCATTTATAGTAATAATGCAATGAGTATCATATCATACACTGAAAGTTGTTCAATAAAATGAAACTTTACTGTAAATAGTGTTTGCCACATGTATATTGTAACAGTATTACCCCTGTAGCTACTGTAAAATTTGTATTAGAAGCCGCAGCTTCTGTTAAAATGGTACAATGAAACAGAAGGGATGCGGCTTCTATTAGAGCAACTACACATATGAGAAATGATGAATTTTTGGTTCTCAATTGTTCAAAAAGAATGTGTGCGACTTATTAGGGATGCGGCTTCTAATACAGATTTTACATCACTAATCAAATATGCATACTTGTAGCTTAAAGCCACCTCTAGGCATCCAATGATTGCATATACATAGCAGTCATAAATACCACAACAGCTGATGACTATGTACAAGACAGTTAAAATCTCAAATGACCACATATACCATTACATTGCAGCTTTAGAAACTACCGGTAACCTCTGAAAAATCTGTATCATAGCAGTAATACATTCCTAAACATGCACATGCAGAAAGTTCATTAAAAGTAAGCAAGTATTATTCAATCTATAGTATACCGTCTATTTTTACAGTTCTACTCACAATTTCATTTAAGATTGTGATGCACTAGACAGCAAATGAATTCTAAATTTACAGACAAAGTTCATTTAGATTGATCTGGTTTGCAATTCTGCAAAACAAAGTTTGACATTTTTTTTCTTGTATAGTTTCTTTACAGTTTTTCAAATTCCATTGAGCATCACATCAGATTATTATAGAAGTGCAAATAAATGATACAACTAAACTATGTGACTATGTGTAAATGATTGCAGCAGCACTGTCATTTCAAAACAGAGAAATCTCTAGTCTTTGGGTTGGAGGGATTGTTTATTTGACAGAAACTGCTTTTATGTTGACTTTATATGCCACTCCATTAAAGCCTAGGCACACTGCTAGTAATATCTTATTTGATTGATTGAATGAATGAATAAATAAAAATGCTGTCAACGAGAATGTAGACAAGTCAAGTTATGCGAGTAAGAGAAATTCCCTGCATACATACAGCATTTACTGATAACATCCCATAATGCTAGTGATGTTTACACCAATATGTATAAGATATACTGTGGAATACTTTATTTTCGCTGAAAAGGCTTTTTGGGCGATTTGCTTGGAATTTATTTTCACTGATTTTTGATGAGATTAATGTGAAATATAGGAAAAAAAGAATATTCGCTGGATTTATTTTCACGGAATCATCCCTTCAGCGAAAATAAATTCCAAGCGAAAATAAAGTATTCTACAGTAACTAGCATCGCAACTAGGCATTAAAGGAGTGGGATATAGTGTAACACAACATGGATTCTATGAACATTAAAACCAATTTATTTCAAAACCACATAAAACAGGCTACCATTATCTAAAATTCGTAAAACAAGGTTACTGGAAACTTTTTATTCCCATAAATGCATTTGTCTTTAAACAGAAGTCCTACACAAATTGAACCACATGACATGTATTCATTTCTATTCACACTTTTCTGTCAGTATGGCTCCAAGTACCTACCCTAAACCCAATTGATTACCCAAGTTTACCATGGGACTACCAGCTTTTAAAATGGGTAGCCAAGAAGATTTCCAAGAAATATTTTAATTTAAGTCCTGTGATAATAAAAGCGACATAGAAATAATTGTCAGGAACCAGGGTAATTTGTTTTTAAACTTTCTGTGGCTCAACTGGCATATCAACTTGATCTTGTTGGGGGTTGTAAGCTACACCTTGTGGAGGATAAGCTGGTGGGGGCTGCTGAGGAGGGTAGCCACCTTGCTGGGGTGGGTAGCCGCCTTGCTGGGGTGGGTAGCCGCCTTGCTGGGGTGGGTAGCCGCCTTGCTGGGGTGGGTAGCCGCCTTGCTGGGGTGGGTAGCCACCTTGCTGGGGTGGGTAGCCACCTTGCTGGGGTGGGTTTGTACCTTGTACAACTGGGTAGGCACTTTGCTGAGTTGGGTAAGTTCCTGGTTTAGCAACAACTGTAGTGCCTGTATGGGTGGTTGTTGTACTCCTTCCTGCACGACAGCAGCAGCAAACTATGACAACAATGAAGATTACACAAACCAAGATAATGAGCACCACTACAACCACAACTATGATAAGTGTTAGCTTCACGGCACTAACAAATACATCTGCAATATCTGAAACAAAACATGGTAAAACTAATGTCATTTCTCAGTACAGGATTAGGATACGACTAATTACCACTGTATGTATTGCCGTCTTCCTAGTCCCTTTATAATACATTACTTTTTATAAGACTACTTACCACTGCATCCACCATCCTCTTCATAAGATTCATCAGATCCATCAGGACAGTTATTTAGGCCATCACATTTCACTTCAGAGGACAAGCAAGTATCATTATCCAAACACTTGAAACAAAAATCATCTATGAAACAAACAAATGCAACTAAAATTACACACACAATGTTGATATAGCGATACTATGTCTTATCCCAGAAAATATAGTACAAATGCGACTTGAGAATAGTAAAAAGAAGACCATCAGAGATGGTTGAATGTATCCTTGCACTCTGAGATAGCACTCTAGATACGAGAGTTTATATATGGACAAATGACCATATATGGATCAGATCACGTCAATGTTTTAAATAAAGCACTGGTTGAATGTCTGCAGTGCTGTAGCACTCCGGAATATATTTGTGCACTTTTGGTAAGGTCACATGACCATATATGGTCATTGAATATGTTGATCAGATGCTGGAAACCACTATACCCCCACCCCCAAAGCACTATGTTCTGTAGGATAATAACATACCCAACAGGCATGGTGATGGGAAGAAGATAAGGTATGATTTTTATTGGTAAAACGAATATACATGGTAATCTCAGATAATTATTATAATTCTCTCCGAGACAGATAGCAATCTTGAAGAAAACCTTACAAGCCAGCCGAGAATGGACAACATCCAAATGTTCAGAGACCAGCAGAAAAAATATATTTAAGCAATATGGTTCGTTTGTGAATAAATTTATTGCAGCATAGACCTCGTCACACTGGAAGGAACTGTGCATATGAATTCAGACTCCAACAGCCTGCCTTGTCACCAGAAACAAATTGTTTATTTGTTTTTACACAGCTCATAAACATAAACAAGAGATAAGCACAGATTTGTGTACAATTAACGATCGACACAAATTGGAATACTAAGCTTCGCCCTGTACCACGGGGCATAAATGTCGACCTTTAAACCTCACTGATCTTAGTAAATGACAGAAACTTACCAGCATCAGTTTGAACTGCAGAGTATATAATATTAAAATCAGCCGGTTTCTCAGCATAGTTACGACTTAGAACCAATGTTAAAGAATAGCTTGAAGACAAGATAGTTTGTGGCAGTTCTGTGGAGTAATAACTCGTTGTACACAAGCCATTCATAGGGGTCAACATTTGTTCATAAATGCTAGATCCATCATATACTTTCAAGCTGTGGTCACTACAGTCATCATCCATCGAATAAACATCAAACGTTTCAAATTTAAGTAGGACTTGTTCATACCACATAACCTCTAAAGTGACTGTACATTCATATACGTCTTCTGTATAGTAGTCCTCTCTGTAGGCCTTGATTATACCGCTGTTAGCATCAGAATAACTAATGGTCTTGCCACAATCATTCCAATATTCATTGGTCATTACAACTGCATCAGAAAATGAAAATAAATATTAAGAGGACTGGTGGGATTATTGCATGATATATGAACGATATCTGTGTGGTAGGCCGTGTGGTAGGCCGTATGAAGTTCAAGGTCTGGTTTCCATACTTGGCAACAGAAATGCCATATCTGAATTATTTTTAATGTTGCAAAATGCATGTGCAAATTACATTGTATATTAGATTATTATATGCAAATTACATTGTATATTAGATTATTATATGCAAATTACATTGTATATTCGATTATTATATGCAAATTACATTGCACGTTGGATTATTACATGCAAATTACATTGTATATTAGATAACATGCAAATTACATTGCATATTAGATTATCACATGCAAATTACATTGCATATTAGATTATTACATGCAAATTACATTGTATATTAGATTATTATATGCAAATTACATTGCATTCTGGATTATTACATGCAAATTACATTGTATATTAGATTATTACATGCAAATTACATTGTATATTAGATTATTACATGCAAATTACATTGTATATTGGATTATTATATGCAAATTACATTGTATATTAGATTATTATATGCAAATTACAGCTGCAATACATTCAGCAAGTGAGCACTGGCTGACCCGCTTTACCTTACACATGTCTTTTTCAAAGTACATGTACACAACTTTTCCATAATTTGAATAAATTTATTTTTACACAATGTTACTTCTTCTCATGGAAAAAAATGATAAAAAACATTGTTCACTTTGTTGGAAGCCGACTCGTATGAAG